GAGGAGGAGGAGGAGGAGGAGGAGGAGGAGGAGGAGGAGGCGGAAGGAGGAGGAGGAGGAGGAAAGGAGGAGGAGGAGGAGGAAGAGGAGGGAGAGGAGGAGGAGGAGGAGGAGGAGGAGGAGGAGGAGGAGGAAGAGGAGGAGGAGGAGGAGGAGGAGGAGGAGGAGGAGGAGGAGGAGGAGGAGGAAGAGGTGGAGGAGGAGAGGGAGGAGGAGGAGGAGGAGGAAGAGGAGGACCACTGCAAACCCAAAAGTCATCCACGATGTTACAAGTCAACCCGCCCTCCAAACTCCCTTGTCGTAGGCCCCTACAGCGGTTCATTTCCATTGAGGGATCTGCTTCGTTGGAAGACAACCGTTTGAAGATCCTGAAGCATGTCAAGACATTGTTTTCGGGATTTCGACGCCACGGATCAACCTGACTGCTGCGTCTTGACGATCCGGAATCTCGCCAGAGCGCCATTTTTGGGATTTCAGCACCGCGAATCAACATGACCGTTGCGCCCGCATAATCCGGAATCTTTCCACAACACCATTTTTGGTACGTTGACCATTGGAACCAGTGAAATTTCGGCAATTTTGAACAACGGATGCACGCGGCGCTAAGGCGATAACCACATTTTGAAAAGGAACCACCCTCATCCTGTGAAACTCGTGCAAAGTTTGGAAACCAATGTGCGCGGCTCTAAGGCGAGAGCCACCTTTTGAAAAGGAACCGACCTCAATCCGCGAAACTCTTGCACATGTTGAAACGAATGTGCGCGGCTCTACGGCGAGAACCACATTTTGAAAACTACTACTCGCCTTCAATCCGTGAAGCTCTTGCAATTTTTCAGCACGAATGTGAGCGGCTTTAAGGCGAGGGCCACATTTGAAAACTACCCGCCTTCAAGCCGTGAAACCCTTGCAATTTGTCAGAACGAATGTGAGCGGCGCTAAGGCGAGAGCCACATTTGAAAAGGAACCGCCTTCAGTCCGTGAAACTCTTACAATTGTTTAAAACGACTGTGCGCGGCGCTAGAGGCGAGTCACACATTTTGAAAATTGTTGACGCTTCGCGTATCCCCACCAGCCCATCCAGAAACGATGCTCAGGGGAGTTGAGGTGATCAGGGAAGTCGGGGAGCATGCAGAATAACAAAGGGCGGGGGAAGCTGTCACAGACCCCGAGAGGGGGAGGATGGAAGAGGAGTCGTCGTCGTCGTCGTCGTCGTCGGAGGAGGAGGAGGAGGAGGAGGGGGAAGAGGAGGAGGAGGAGGAGGAGGAGGAGGACGGAGAAGGAGGAAGAATCGGAGGAGGAGGAGGAGGAGGGGAAGGAGCTTCTTGGGGGTCTTTTGAGGGCCTCTTGGAGGGCTTTTTGGGCGCCTTGGGGCATCTTGGGCGCCTCTTGGGACCCTCTTGAGGCGCTCTGGGGAGCCTTCGGGGCGCTTTTGGGGCCATCTTGGAGGGAGTCGATCAAACAAGAGGGGGGGTTTAATTAGCGCCCCCCCTCGGAAGCCCCTAAAATCGCCTCTTGGACCCCTCTTGGAACGCTCTTGGAGTGCTCTTGGGCGCTCTTGGGGCCGTCTTGGGGCTCTTTTGGGGCTCTCTTGGGGCCCTCTTGGGCCATCTTGGAGCCATCTCCAGGCCTCGGATGGCCATCGGAAGCGAAAAGGCGAGAAAGCAAAAATCATTGATTTTCCTTAGGTTTTGGGACGATTTTGGCCTCTTCGGGGCCTCCTTGGGGAGCTGTTTGGCCACTTGGAGTTATCTTGGGGCCGTCTTTGGGCTTCTTGGAACCATCTTAGGAGCCATCGTGAGCGATCTTGCGCTATCTTGAGCCATCTTGGAGCTCATCTTGGGTTCTCTGAGGCGCTCTTGGAGCCGTCTTGGGCCATCTTGGACGCTCTAACTACCCGCGGCCCCCCCCGTCCAGGTCCAGGGGAGGGGGTAGGGGGAGGGGTAAACCCCTCCCCAAGGGGGAAGAGGGAGGGGTGGAAGAGGATCTGCTCTAGACCACCTACGCCCAGAGGGCTGGTGGGACTACCCGCCCTCAATCCGTGAAGCTCTTGCAAAATCTCAAAAAGAATGTGAGCGGCGCTATGGCGGGAGTCACATTTTGAAAACCACCCGCCGTCCATTTGGGATCAGTTTAAATGCTTCAGAATGATAAGTGGCGAGGAAGTCTCAGGCGAAACGCCCGGCCCGCTCTAAAAACTTGCCTCGGGGTGCGACAGGGAGAAGGTATGTATAAGGAAAAGGAATGGGGGAGGAGGGTGAGGAGGAGGGGGAGGGGGATGATGATGGTGATGATGATGATGATATGATGATGATGGTGATGAGGAGGATGAGGAGGAGGAGGAGGAGGAAGAGGAAAAGGCGGAGGACCAGTGTAAACCCAAGACGCGCCAATGATGATGCAATGCGCCGTCCTTCCAAATTCCTTCTTCATAGGTTCAAGACAGCATGTTGCTTTCACTGCCGGAAGTGCCCCGTTGGACGACAACCGTCTGATAATCCTCAATCGTGCCAGAACACCACTCCCTCGCCCCAGCGCCGCACAACATTTTATTGTTGTATCCCAGCGATCCTGCATCTTGCCAGAACACCGTTCCTGGGACTTCAGCGCAGCGAATGAACGTGACTTTCACGCCATGACAAGCCAAATCCGTACCATAACAAGATTCCAGGGACGTCAACCATAGTAATCCTGTTTGCGCGTCGCTGGGGCGAGAGCCACATACTGAACAAGAGCCGCCCTCCATCCGTGAAGCCTTTGCACACTTTTAAGACGAATGCGCGCGGTGCTAAGACGATAACCGCGTGTCACAATCGTTCCGCTCCCCGTAAATCTTACCCGCGCTACGGCGAGAGCCAGATTTGGAAAAGGTGCCGCCCTCCTTCTGTGAAGCTCTTACGTTCTTTTCGGGCGGATATGCGCGGCGCTAAGGCGATCATCGCATTTCGCAAACGCACCGCTTTCCATCCGTGAATTGCACACTGGTATGACGAACGCGCGTGGCACCTTTGCGAACACAGCATTTTCACACAGGGACCGTCCTCCACCCGTGAAGCTCCTGCAATTGTTTAAGGCGAGTGTGCGCGGCGCTACATCGAAAAGCACATTTTGAAAACGACCCTCTCTCCATCCGTGAAGCTCTTGCAAGCAGAGCGCTAAGGCGAGAGCCACATGCTGAACAAGAGCCGCCCTCCATCCGTGAAGCTCTTGCATTTGACAACGCCTTGGCGAGAGCCATATCTTCAAAGCGAATCGCCCTCCATCTGTGAAGCTATTGTAAACTCTACGCTTCAGGATCTTGCATGGTGAACACGTCTCACGCGAGCCGCCGGGCCCGCCTTGCCGACACGTCTCGGTGTGCGTTAGGGGGTTTCTATTATGTATGTATGTGTGTGTATCTATATATATATATATATACACACATGTATACAACCGGCGTGCGTTCCAGGCCCAGGGGGGACCCAGGCCCATTCCCTCATGGCGGTGCCGGGCCTCCAGGACTTCTCTTTTTCCCGCTCCAAGACGATTTTAGATGCCCTCCAACACGGCCAAGATGTCTCAAGATGGCCTTAGAGATGCCTCCAACACGCCAAAAAAACCCGATGACGCTCCAAGAGGCCCCCCAAGGGGCCTCCCGAGAGGGCCCCAAGAGGCAACCATGGTCCCATCCCATTCAGACAACGTACATTTTTTCCATATTCGCCTCTTGGGCTTCAACAGTGTCAAAGACGGCCCGAGAGGCCCCAAGATCGTCCCAATGGGCTCCCAAGAGGCTCTCAAGAGGGCTCCAAAACGGCCCAAGAGGGCTCCAAGACGGCCGAAGAGGGCCCCATGACGCCCCAAGAAGGGGCCCCGAGGGGGTCCCCGAACGGACATTTGAAGCGCTCCGCTCTTAGAGGAGGAGGAGCAGGAGGAGGAGGAGGAGGAGGAGGAGGAGGAGGAGGAGGAGGAGGAGGAGGAGGAGGAGGAGGAGGAGGAGGAGGAGGAGGAGGAGGAGGAGGAGGAGGAGGAGGAGGAGGAGGAGGAGGAGGAGGAGGAGAGGAGGAGGAGGAGTGAGGAGGAGGAGGAGGAGGAGGAGGAGGAGGAGGAGGGAGGAACAGGAGGAGGATGAGGATGTGGAGGATGAGGGAGTTGGAGGAGGAGGGTAGGGGAGGAGGAGGAGGAGGAGGAGGAGGAGGAGGAGGAGGAGGAGAGGAGGAGGAGGAGAGGAGAGGAGGAGGAGGAGGAGGAGGAGGAGAGGAGGAGGAGGGAGGAGGAGGAGAGGAGGAGGAGGAGAGGAGGAGGAGGAGGAGGAGGAGGGAGGAGGAAGGAGGAGGAGGAGGAGGAGGAGGAGGAGGAGGGAGGAGGGAGGAGGGAGGAGGGAGGAGGGAGGAGGAGGACGGAGGAGGGAGGAGGGCAGGGAGGAGGGAGGGAGGAGGGAGGAGGGAGGAGGGAGGAGGGAGGAGGGAGGAGGGAGGAGGGAGGAGGGAGGGAGGAGGGAGGAGAGGAGGAGGAGGGAGGAGGGAGGAGGGAGGAGGGAGAGGAGGAGGGAGGAGGGAGGAGGAGGAGGGAGGAGGAGGAGGCGGGGAGGGGGAGGGAGGGAGGGAGGAGGGAGGAGGGAGGAGAGGGAGGGCGGGGAGGGAGGGAGGGAGGAGGAGGGAGGAGGAGGAGGGAGGAGGAGGAGGAGGGAGGAGGAGGAGGAGGAAGGAGGAAGAGGAGGAGGAGGAGGAGGAGGAGAGAGGAGGAGGAGGAGGGGAGGAGGAGGAGGAGGAGTGGAGGAGTGGAGGAGGACGAGTGAGGAGGGAGGAGTGGAGGAGTGAGGAGGAGGAGGAGGAGGAGGAGGAGGAGGAGGATGAGGAGGAGGAGGAGGTGGAGGTTGAGGTGGAGGAGGAGGAGGAGGAGGAGGAGGAGGAGGAGGAGGAGGAGGAGGAGGAGGAGGAGGGGGACAATGGAGACGATACAAAGACAAATATGCAGAGCGGCGGCTGCGGCGGTGGCGGGCGGTGGCGGCGGCGGGTCTGGCAGGCCCCCTCGCTGCTGCTCGGCGCTCTCGAGAGACAGGTGGTCCTGCTTAGCCGCGCGGCGGCCAGGCGCCCCGCCGGGCCCCTCTTCGGGAGGCGTCGTCGTCGTCGTCGTCGCCGAGGCAACGCCCGCGGCCGCGCGTCGTCGTGGTCGTCGTCGCCGCGGCCGCCGCCGCCGCCGCTGCTGCCGCCCTCGCCTTCTCCGTCGCCTTCGGTCGCCTTCTCCGTCGTCGTCGTCGCCGCCGCCGCCTCCGTCGTCGCCGTCGTCGTCGGCGTCGTTGTCGTCGTCGTTGCCGTCGTCGTCGTTGTCGTCGTCGCCATTTTGGCTCCATTCAGCTGTCTTGAGCGGCCGCGATGAGGCGATTGCAGTCACCTGCACTCGTGTAATCCCTTCTCCCCTTTTCTGTACACACCTCGCGCCAATGGCACGTCGTGCAATCAAAGACTTGTATCTCGAGCTGGCTTCCTTGAGAAACGAGTTGAACGTCGTAAAACATCAAATCCGAGTCTCTCACCAGCCTCGTCTTGGACTGGATCAGTTGGTACCTGAGAGTCCAAAGCGCCATTGCATGAATCCACATGCGCCCATCTTCGTTCCCGTCCTGGCCGAGGAGCCGTGGGAGCCCATGCCTCCTGCGGATGCGGGAGGACCCAGTATGGCGGTGAAACCCGAGAGCTGCGAAAATACGGTCGATCGGCATAACGCTTTTGAGCACTATTTCAATGGCAATGTCATCGCCCTTCTCTGCGCTGAAGGGGCGCTTCTGTGAAGGGTTGCCGGAGGATGTTGCTTTGGATCGCGCTATCCAATCATATCATAGGCGGAATTTTGTTGACGTTTCGCGATGGGTGGGCAGCTATCTTCTGGCGCACGATAGTTTCGCAAGATCTTGCTTTTGTTCATTCTGTCAGAGAAACAAGAGTTCGGAAAGCTGGATCGCATTTAGCAGAACACCAGCATCATATGGAAGAGGTTGCGCAGAGAGCTTGTGACGTTCGGGATAGAGCCAGCAAGTGCCAACACAGCCCTGATGGCAGGACGGTTTCTGGAGTCTTACTGAGGGATGCTCAATCACCTATTCCAAGGCAGCTTTCTTTGACAGAACAGCTGATTCAAGAGGGATCTGAAACGAGTCGGAATCTCGTTCAGCAGAAGTTGCGTCTGAAGCTGCTCCAAAGACTGCCGCCTGCACTGGTCCACCCGCTCGACGATGATATAGAAAGCGTGCGAAATCAATAGGAAAAACTGGTTTTGTGAGATTTTGTCTGTTCAGAAATCAATTTCGTACTTGGAGACTTGTGTATTGGATTGTATGTCCTTTGTCTTGCATCGAAATACTGATCAGGTTAGGGCCCTCCACTGATGGGCGGACAAAATGGCTCGTTTAGATGTTTCCCTTGCGCGGCAAGTTCAAAAAGGAACTACATGCGCTGAGAGTCAATGCTTTGATGCATGATCCCGTATTGTCTGAAGTCGCCCTTCCTCCCCTGCTTTCCCCTGCGCCATTGGTCTCGTTTTTGTTTGGCTCCCCGCTTGTCATCGCTCTTTCGCTCTTCTGGTTTCCCGCTTGCAGGCAACTGTACTTTCTCTCAGGTCGGAAGGTCAGTGAGTATCCCAGATCGCATTTTTTCAGCGATGACGGTCAGGACCCGAAAGTCGCCTGTGAGGACCATGTCCAGTCGAGTCGTCCTCGTCGTCGTCGTCGTCGTCGTCGTCGTCCTCGTCCTCGTCCTCGTCCTCGTCCTCGTCCTCGTCCTCGTCCTCGTCCTCAGTCCTCGTCGTCGTCGTCTTCGTCGTCCTCGTCGGCTCCGGCATTGCTTCTCTGACGTTTCCAGGCCTTCTGGTCTCGGGGGGAGGTTGGGGGAAGAAATAAAAGAGCTTGGGGAGGAGGAGGAGGAGGAGGAGGAGGATGAGGAGGAGGAGGAGGTGGAGGTTGAGGTGGAGGTGGAAGGGGTGCAGGAGGAGGAGGAGGAGGAGGAGGAGGAGGAGGAGGAGGAGGAGGAGGGGGAGGAGGAGGAGGGGGAGGAGGAGGAAAAGGATTTGGAGGACGAGGAGGAGGAGGAGGAGGAGGAGGAGAAGAAGGGGGAGGAAGAGGTGGAGCAGGAGGAGGAGCAGGAGGAGGACGAAAGGTGCGGCTCGAGTGGGGTGCTGGTTTTCCTATTCGGCCAGCTCGCTTGCACAATGCATGTGGCATGTGTCGCAGATGAGGAGTAGGAGGAGGAAGAGGAGGAGGAGGAGGAGGAGGAGGAGGAGGAAGAGGAGAAGGAGGAGGAGGAGGAGCAGGAGGAGGAAGAGGAGGAAAGGAGGGAGGAGGAGGAGGAGGAGGAGGAGGAGGAGGAGGAGGAGGAGGAGGGAGAGGAGGAGGAGGAGGAGGGGAGGGGGAGGAGGAGGGGGAGGGGGAGGAGGAGGAGGAGGAGCAGCAGGAGGAGGAGGAGGTTTCATTGTCGTTGTCGTCCTCCTCGCCCCCCTCTTCGCTCTCTGCTGTTGCTCCTGCTGTTCGTGCTTGCCCTACAGGTCATCCCCACTGCTCCTGCTGCTGCTCCTCTCCCTCGATCCTGCTGCTACCTCCTTCTGGCTCTCCAGGTCCGCTGTCGACTGGGCTCCACCGCCGTCGTCCTTGCAGCCGCCGCCGTCGTCGTCGTGACCGCCACCGTCGTCGTCACTGTCACCGTTGCCGTCGCCGTCGCCGCCGCCGCCTTCGCCGCCGCCGTCGTCGTCGTCGTCGTCGTCGTCGTCGTCGTCGTCGTCGTCGCCGCCGTCGTCGTCGTCGTCGTCGTCGTCGTCGTCGTCGTCGCCGCCGCCGCCGGCGGCGGCGTCGCCGCCGTGGCGCGGAGGCACCCGCCCGCGCCTGCCGCCCCCGCCGTCGAGTGCCGGAGGCCGGGCGGCCCTTCCGCGCGGCCGCGGGGCGGTGGCCTCCGGCGCTCCCGCTGGCGCCTGTACAGTCGGGGCCCTGAAGAAGGAGCCCTTTTCGTCGGGGAGGGGCTCCGCGTTCCTTAAGTGTTTCACAGCTTGCCTCAGGTTTTCCTTATGTTTTCGATAGGAAACCGAAGTTTAACTTATGGGAAAAAGGGGCCTCGTTCCTTATTCAGGGTTCCTTAGGTCAACGCCCCGACTGTACAGTTCGGGGGTGGACAGACCTCCTACCCTGACACGTCGATTAAGGAATTGGCAGTTTTCGGTTCGCGAGGGGGCGTCGCGGCCGTCATTTTGCGGGTCCAGGTCCGTCGGTTTCGGTCCCAGGCCGTTCTCACTAAGGGGAGGTCTACTGAAGGGAGGTTTGTCCAGCGCCTGTGCAGTGGAGACCCATGCCACCAAACACCCTACCTGCCTTAAGTCGGGCCTGTCCCTCTGCAGGGGGAGCATTCAAAGATAGTCAATAAAATCGTCTGGGGACCTTTTTTTGTCTATGTTTGCTTATATAGGGGGCTTTTTGTAAATAAAGAAATAAACAAATACAAAAAAAATGAATACAGAAGTAAATAAATGAATGAATAATGGATAAATAAACAAATACTTAAATCAATAAATACATAAATGAATGAATACATAAATGAATAAACACATACACAAATAAATACATAAATAAATACATAACTAAACACATACATAAATACATAGTCCCATGAATCAATACATAAATAAATAAATAAATAAATGAATCCATACATAAATAAATAAACACATAAGTACATATGCATAGTTTGTTTTTTTGTGCCAAAATCCCCTGTAGGGGGACACGCCCGACTTAATGCTTGCCTCTAGGGTGTCCTGGGTTTCTTGGGTTTCGATTGTTTTTCAGTGGAAAGCGTGACCTTCCCACACCAAACATCAGGGGACGTCCTGGGGCCTCCACTGCAGCGCGGAGCTCGTGGGCGGAATCCGTGGGGCCTTGGAGCCGTGCAGGCACTCGTCGGCGGCGAGCTCGGGAGGAACTGATCAGAGGAGGAAATTGTACCCGTACCGCAACCCTTCCGTCGCTTTCCCCTTTTTGGGCCTCCTGGGAGGCCCTCGTCGCCACGGCTGGAATCGCCTCGAAATTCTGGTGACGCACCCCGGGAGAGGTCCGGGGAGTAGCGGTATCGGTACCTTTCGGCATCCCCAAGTGATAGGGGGCAGGCCTCCTCCCAAGGCGGCGGGGTTTCTCAGAACCCCTCCAGCCCTTGAGACACCGTCTCTGTCGTCGGAGACGGTTCAGAAGCCTGCTCAGAAGGCCTGAGGCCCTTCGAGCTTGGTGAGAAGGCTGGCCCCCTCTGACTTCCCCCCTGGACTCGCCGCCGACTTCAGGTCTTGGCGTTTGCAATTTTTCACAGGGCGTTTTCGCTTGGTTTCGTGCCCCCAGACTCACATTTCGATCCAGCTTGAAGAATTACAGAAAACTTTGGTCTAGTGGCCCAGTCGTGATTTTCGCGATGTGTTGTTTTTCGTAACGTCGGATCTCAGGCGTCGGGTGGCGCACAGATGCCCCAGGTAGTCCTGGCTGGCCTCAACAGGACCCCCGAGTAGTGCGACCGAGTCTTTGTGTGACCCGTTGGGTGATTGTGTGGCACGGTGCGTGTTTGTTTCGCCCGGGGAGCTGCTGGATGGGTGTTATTGTGGCCCGCGCTGTGTTCGTGTCCCCCTCTCTCCCCCTATCCTGCGGGATTGATCAGGTCGAACTTTAACGATTTTGGCTTTTGGGTGCGCGTGCGATGTGATAGTATATCTGATGGTGGCACTCTCGTACCGAAGGACAAACAACAAACGTAGCTGTTTCCGCTATGCCCGCCGATGGTGTTCCAGGTGTGTCTCACAATGGTAGCAGGAGCATGGTAACCGACGGTTGGGTACAGACGGAGGCAGGAACGTTCGTGACTCGGGGAACACGACCAAAACAGAGAAGGAGGAACCACCACACCCAGTTCGCGCTATACGCAGTATGCGCAGCAACGATCCAGTCCCAGGGCGATATTCCAGCAAAGGACAGCACCAGCGCGCCCGTCAGATTCGAAAGCCGGGGATTCGAAAACATCGACACGAAACGACCCAAGGGACGACTAATGGAGGGAAAACGACCCGTGGTGGGAGAAGGACGAGAGGTGGTCGCCTTGGGTTCAGGAGGCGACATGATCACCCCCAAGGGCTCGATCGTCTTGGCAACACAAAATGTGCGATTCTGCAACTTCCAACCGGATCGGACTGAAGCATTTTGAAATCTACGTGGCCAACCTGGGATCTTGGGCTGGCCGCGCCGCCATCAAAGCAGATACATAGTCTGGCGGCAGACGTGCTCGAATGATTCCGGGTAGACATCCATGCGAACTTTCTTTCCGTGCGTCAGTCGGTGGACGTAGAAGAAAGGCTAATGTCGAAGTTCCCATCTGCGGGCTTTGACCGGTGAGGAGCCAAGGGTGATGGAACGTGCATCTTACAATGCCACCCCGTTCGTTGTGACCAGTCATGCCAGATAATCATCGCGGACTTTCCGGTCAGGAGGGATCAGCAAATAGCGAAGGCCGAAGCGATGGGATTGGTCTGGCCCGATAGAGTCAAGGCTTCCATGTATGGTGAGGGCGCTAGCTGGACTTGTCAGAACCATACGATGTTCTTGACCTTGACTCAGGGAATAGCGCACTGGGGCCATTCGACAAGGACTGTTCACAGTATATGTGCGCGAGAATCTATGCTGCCCAAGCCCCGATCTCACGGGAGCAGGGCAAACGCTTCAATACCTGGCCCGCCATTTCCATGCCGAGAAATTTAGGGTCAAATCGCGTGGCATCTTCGAGGTTTGCTTTGCTGAGGAGGAACTCCATGAGTTTCTGATGGCCCTCGGCGCTCAGGACCTGTCCAAAGCAGAGGTCAGGAGATTTTGCACTGTGGTCGCCAAACCTAAGAAGAGGATGACATGGCAGGATTCCCGAATATTCAGGTAGCTCGAACGGTGGACGGGGATTTCTTGAGCCGCGAGCGCGGCGCCGGAGTTCAGGGAGAGGCCGTCGGGGAGACGCTGGCCCGTTTCGACGCGAGGCGACGTTCGAAGTGCAGAAATTGTGGAGAACGCGGGCGTTGGCGCGGCTATCGAAACCCCGATCTGCTGCCCGCGGTTCATGTGAGTTGCTCGGTGAGGACCTCGGGGCGGTCGCGGTGCTCGAGTCTAGCGCGAAGGAGCGTCTCGCGGATCTTCGTGGCGGTGCCATCGACGAGCACGGTTGGGGCGACCCGACCGGGCAGCGAGACTCGCGGGCGGTCGAGGGTTTTGAGGCGCTCGGCGGTGAGAATCGGACTGGGAGAGACGCGCTCCGTCAGGGAAGCCGAAGGCGGCACGGCCGGCTCTTGGGCTGTCTTGCCTGGGCCATTCCAGCAATTTGTTGGCCTGCCTCTTGGCCGCTCTCTGCTGTCGTTCGCGGACGTCGCTCTTGGTGATCTGGGCAGTCGCGCTCTGGTGGGCGCAGTTGCCCGGGCCCGATTTGGGGCGCGTGATCAACGCTATCCGCGCGCTGGGCTACCGCGTCTTCGTCGAGGAGTTCGGTCCCGAGGGTGGCGCGCCCGCCGCCGACGGCGTGGGGGGGGGGTCGCGTCGCGCCTGTGGCAATGGCTTTCGTGCCGACGACTGTTCTCGGATGCGGGATCACAGGGGGTTGCGTGCTTCCTCGCGCGCGCCATCTCCCGTGGTCAGCGAAGCTTCTTGAGGTCATTGATGGGGGTCGTCGACCGACGTGTCTGAGCGCGGCCTCCAGGTGTCGGGTCTAAGTGTAAGCAGAGCTAGATGCATCGCCTTGCTGCGGGATATTGGACAGTGTCGATCTGGGCGGCTCCAGGTGGCGCCTGGGCCCCGAGCTGCAGGTCGCGGACGTTCAGGGCCGGGGGGGCGAGGGTCGTGGCCCAGGCCTGGCTGCCAGACAGCTTGCTTGTATACCATTGCTTCAGATCTCTGTCCCCCCTTTCCGCGCCTCGAATTTCTTCGCGTCGGTTTTTTACGAGGGAGTTAGATTCGATTGTCGATGGGGTTTGTGATCTTGCGGGTTTGTAGCAGTATTGCCGTCAGGGCATTTTTGAACTCCCTCATTCGGCAAGTGCGTTCTTGCGGCGACTGGAGGGGGGGGGTCGATCGCGGTTCGCAGTGTCCGTCCTGCTGTCGCGGTGGCAGAGCTCGGCTTCGGGGCCCGTCTGAGAGCAAATCGTGCTTTTGGGGGGCGCTCGTTTGCGTCGCCGGCCACGCGCTTTCTGATTCACATTGACGTTCGCAAGTGGGCAGTTAAAGTGGCGGGTGGCAAGGCCTGGGCCCCCCCCCGCAGACGCCCTGACAGTCGAATCTGGGCGATCGGGTTACAGGTCGATCCCCCAGTCCTGAAGCGTCACCCCAGACCGCTCGCATCGCTTTCAACGCAGCCCCAGATCGCCCGAGAGACCTTAGTCTCGCGCATGTCGCGCCGGCTCCTTGGACTGCGAGCGCGCGCCCGTGCCCGCCTGCGTAGCGCGTGCGCGTGGGGGCCCGCGACTGGGGGGCTTCGGCATGTTCTCCGGGATCCCGCGGGACCTCCTCGGACGCCGAGACGGCCCGAAATGGCCCCAGGCCGCTCGAGAGTGGCCCGAAAGTGCGCCTCGGCCACCCAGGCCGGGCCCCAGACCCGCCGAAGTGGTTCCACGAGGTGTCCGAGGGGTCAGAGATGACCCCCATCGGGCGATCCAGCGGGGGCCTTGGGGCGCGCCGTGGGGGCCTCAAGTGGGCCCCAGGAACGCTGCGTCCTGGGCCTTTCGCGGAGGGCCCTTGGGTCTTCAGCTCGCGCCGTTCCGTGGAATCGTGCGCCCCCGCAGGGGGCGTCGTTGGCCGTTTTGGGTTGATGTCCAAGCCTTGTTCGGCAATTGAGGTGGCGTCGGGCAGCGTCCCTTCTCGTTG